GGTAGGAAACGAGGTTCCAGAGATAGGTTCAAGGGTGGCTGAGAGGCTTTGTGCGACCTGCTCAAAAGGTTAAGCTTTATTCTCTAGGAGGGAGTTGTGGGGAGAGGAAACCAAAGTTGAGAAGGAGCCACAAGGGACAGCTGTAAGCTGGAGTGCTGGATCGTTGGTCTGCTGAGGTGAGTGAAAGGTGGATTCAAGGTAGAATCTGTGAGCTGGAAAGTTCTGTTATTAGGAGATTATATAGAGGAGGAGGACCTGAACTGATCAAAAGCAGCAGGAAAGGGGGCGGACTTAGCCGGATGCCTCACAGGAGCCATCTGAAGAACTTGAGACTAATTAGATGTCAGGCAGAGGCAGAGGGAGAGGGAGAGGGAGAGGTTCAGGCTGTCTCCCAGGTTGCCAGTTTGCAGGGTTGAAAGGTTGTTTATACCATTTACCAATACAGGAAACATGGTAGGAGGGAAACACCGCCACACTGAGACAGGCAGCTCTGTGTCCTAGGCCCGCTCCCATGCCCGGCCTGGTAGACCTTCAGATATCTGAAGATCCCATTTCTGAACTGATTTCAGTGAGTCTAGTGTTGTAAACTGACTGAGAAAAATTGAAAGAGAGCTCTTAGGTCAAAAATGACTTGTGATAAATAGGGATTATATATGGGTCCCACTCTTCTTAGTAATCATAGGGATCTTCTGTGAAGTAGAATTTTTAAAATAACATTTTATAAATAACTGAAGCTGAGGAAAGAATTGAACAGTGTATCTGAAGCCATATAGATGAAAAGGAGTAGAGTTGAGATTCCTATGTGGAATTTAAAGTTCAGTGGCTTCCCATCGTGGTACGGTCAAGACGGTACACGTTAAGGTGGCTTCTAACACTCGGCCGTCCCACCCTTGCCTGACCTTACCATGTACCAGTTCCCTTCTAATGTGTAACGCTGCCTTCCACCCTTGGGCTTTGGCTCTTTTTTCTGACTGGAAGGTTCTTTACAAGCCCTCTCCTCATTAACTTGACAGCATTCTTCAGATCTTAGCTGTCTGGGAGAAGTCCCTTTGGCACTGTGAAATGGGTCAGGCATTCTAACAGGAGTTCGCAGAGCACCTTGTGCTGTTTCTTCCTAGCACTCAGTACACTCCGCAGTTACATATTTATGTGTAAATTTTGAGTTAGTGGGTGTCATTCCTGCTTAACTGCACCACAGTCTCTGTTTCTCACCCCTTGGGCATGGCACAAAGAGCAGGCGATCGATATGTATTTTTTGATTGGAAGAAAGACTTCATGCTTCAGTTTTTTTGTTATTTCATGTATGTAGTTATTGCCTGTGTCCTCCAAGGGGCTGCAAAAAGACCACGGTCTTGTTTCTTCTATTCATTGTGATCTCTGAATGTAGCCCAGTGTGAAGCAGATAGTAAGTATTCAATAAATGGTTACAAACAAATGACAACAGTAAACCACACAGTTAACTGGTTTTCCAAGCGGACAGGCATTCTTCACTTGTCAAGAGGGTGCAGAGCTCCCCCAGGAGCCCTTATCTAGAAAGCCTGTTTCGTGGCCACTGTTTATGTCAAAGAGGACTCATCCCTGACTTAGACACTCATTTAATTGTCCTACAGTACAAAAAAAAACTTGTTCAAAAGAGATACACTGTTTTTGGTTATAAATAACAACTGTGTATAATGATGACCACTGTTAAGAAATTACAACCAATGAAGAATCAGATAACTTACTGACACCTGACTCATAGCTACAATTTTGAAAATGGACTAAACAGTCTGTAAGAAATTCAAGGAGGGAAGTACCAATGTCAGTTATTACTTTGAGTGGAGTTAAATGTAACTGCAAAATAATTAAAGATAATTAAACAAAAGAGAATGCTAATAGGCTGTTCTCTCTATGTGTCATTTATAAGGTACTTAAAGACCCAAATTTAGCTAAGTCAGGAGACACACACAATCTCAGATTTAATCAACAGCCTCCTCATGGTCCTGTGCTAGCCTGTAGTATTTTAGTAGGTTTTATTTTTAGTAGATGTTATTGTTTGTTTTTTGAAGTGGGGTATCACTATATATTTCTGGCTGGCCTTGAATTCACTTTGTAGTCCAGGCTAGCCTTGAACTGGCAGAGCTCCTCCTGCCGCAGCCTCTGAAGTGCCAGAATTACAAGCAGGAGCCACCATACCCGGCTTAGTATGTATTATTGTTACTAGGTGTCTAAGGCAAAAGGTCCGTAGATGACTGCCATTGAAAAGACAGTACGTTGTACTCACAGACTGCATGGACACAGTGATGTTGTGTCACTATGGGGGGCAGCAGGATGCATAGGTTGATCACAGGCAGAAGGAGAGATGGGACCATGGCCGTGTTCTTACTGTGGTTCCCACAGGAAGGGGTGGCTGAGGCTTCTGGCCCGGTTGAATGACAGGGTTGGTTAGGGCAGGTGTTTGGTGGCCTGAGTGTGAGATATGGTCTGATAAGCAGTCATGATGTATTAGGGTTAGGTAAGGCAGGGGGAGGGTGTATTGATAAACATTAACACTAGGTAATGGGTAAATAAAGATTAACTATACTTTGCTTTCCACCTTGGTATATGTTTAAATTTTTCAAAACTCAATTTTTTAAAAACTAAATCATATTGAAAATGTGTTCTCACTGGAAGCTTTTCTAAAACCTGCATGATAACTCCTAAATTCTCAAGGTCTTTTCTATTTTGATGGAAATCTTTCTGAAATACGCCTTACATTTATTACCACAGTGTAGTAAAATTCAACACAACCTGATTTTTAAGAACTTCTAGCATTTTAATGAACATTGATTACCATTATGCCAGAGACTTAGCTTTAAATGCTGGTATAAGGAGTGTGTAAGGCAGGAATGAGACTTTCAAAACACAAACAGTGGCCACGAAACAGGCTTTCTAAATAAAGGCTCCCAGGAGAGCTTTGCACCCTCTTGAATAGTGAGGAATGCCTGCCTGCTTGGGAAACCAGCTAGTTAGTTCACTGTTGTCATTTGTTTGTAAGTATGTGCTTAGTACCTACTGTCTTTCTGCTTTGTACTGGGCTAGACTCAGATTCACAGTGAATAGGGCAAACAAGATCCTGTCCTTTTTACAGTCTCTTGGAGGACGTAAGCAATAAATATACACACAAAACAATGAAAAACTGTAAAAAGTGCCATGAAGCACAGATAAATGACCTGATGAGGGGCTACAGACCAAAAGCGGCAGAATCGGGATTAAAAACCCAAGCACCTAGGCTTTGGAGCTCCAGACTAAGACCTTGTCTCTCAAGTTAAAAATGAGGAAAATCCGTTAGCACGAAGAGCTCAGGACCAGCCTGTACAGTATGCACCTTTCCTTTTTAAAAGGAGAGCTGTCTTTAGAGGCTTAGCTCAGTCTACGTGTCTGTACTAGATTCTTTGTGATCACTGAGGGCTCAGTGCTTCTTGTCCTGTAAGTAAAAATATATTTCAACCCTACAAATAAACTTAATCCATTTTTACACTTAGAATAATAAAGATCATTTCTTAATATTTTGAGCCATCCAGTCATTGTTAAAATTTTCCCAGTTGTCACATAAATGCCTCTTCGCAATTGATTTCCTTGAATCGGGATTCAAACCAGGTCAGCATATACTGGCAAATCTCTTAAATCTTACCTTTTTCCTTTTTGTTTTTTTCATTTGCCAGTGTTTTGCAAATTGAGGAAACCGGATAATTTGTCTTGTAAAATAATCTCATGTGGTGGATTTTACTGATTACATTCCTGTGGTGGCATTTAACAAGTTTTAAGTCTGTTCCCTATATTTTCCATAAACTGATAGGGCTGGAGGCCTAACAAGGTTCTGGTTTGATGTTTTTGGTAAAAAACACTTCATAGGCATTCTATCATGGTGGAAGACACACTGAGTCTATATATGAAGTAAGAGAGCCCGGTGGCGTCTGGTATCATCAGCCAGAACTCTGTAGTGGCTCTCAGTTCTCCCTGCGCATTAGAACATTAGTGGAGTTGTTACACACCTCTGATGATCAGGCCCCACTCTAAGAATTGATCTGTGATGGGCCTCGGCTCAGTAATTTTTTGAATCTTAGGTGATTCCAGTGTACAGACTGTACTGAGAATCCCTGACCTAACAAATTTGGTAGTAACTGGGGAACTTTTCCTAGAGCTTCATTGTTGCAGAAGAGTTTGTTAAATGCTGGTGTGGCAGTGTAATTTCTGGACATGTTTGCAAAAACTCTTCTATTAAAATTTTCACTCAGGGACTGGGGATTTAGCTTAGCAGCACAGCGCCTGCCTGGCAAGCACGAGGTCATGAGTTTGATTCCCAGTACTGGAAGAAAAACAAAACAAACAAACAAAAAAAATTTTCACTCAGTCTTTGGTTTTCCCTTTAGCTTGTACAGGAAAAGTAGGATAAATATAAATAAACATTCTTATCAGTTGTCTGAATATTGAATTGAGTATCAATATCCAAGTGACCAATGAGTTTGGAGAATTTTGAATTTATGGATTTTAAAACATATGATATATTGTAAGCCATTGTATATATTATTATTTTAATGTTGATATTGGTTAAATGTTAGCCAGTAAAAAGCCTTTTAAGTCAGCTCCTGATACCTTTTCCACAATATTTAATTGCCCACTGCCTTGCTTTTAAGTGTGATAGTGTGCTTTAGGCTCATCTTATACATTTGATAATGTAGTTGTTTTGTAGTTTCCACATTTTAGGTGATTTCTGCCCTGAACCTGAAATCATCATTTAATAGTTTAGTTTTCTGTATCCTATTCGGTGGCATTCTATTTGGTGGCTATGGAATGATTACTAAATGAATTGAAGTATATTGTAGTGATTATAAGTTTCAATAGGTAGCAAAAAGCAATTAGGAAAAACTGTAAAGATTATGTAGCAAAATGCTTATTTTTAAAAAATTATGAATCCTATAGTAGTGAGTGTTGCATAAATCCTTGGTTAACAATCTGTGTGTATGTGTTCTTCTCCACAGTTAATGTCCATCAGTGTGTTAGCTGTCTCTGCTTGGATGAGGGATTACCTGAATAATGTTCTGACTTTAACTGCTGAAACGAGGTAAGCTCTGTAATTGTTGATAGTAGTTTTTCGTTAGGTTTCCTCAGATCCTGGATTTTAAATGCGGCTGTTCCTAGCTATTTACAGGGTGGTGCTCCTCTGCGACCTTTAGAGCAGTTTTTCCTGCCCACTGCAGTCTGTTGCAGACACTTGCCTTTTCCAGCATTCTTGTCAAGGTGCGCCACCATCCCTCGAGGGGATCAGGCGGCGGTGTGTTCATATGGACATTTCTGGGTATGGTGACACCAGGGGCTTGTCCTCCGTGCTGTATCTCAGTCATGTAATTTCTGTGTCTAAAGAGCAGCCTAGCTTCTTTTCCCTAAGAAAACCACTGTCAGCTTCCCCTTACCTTTGTTGTCCTTGGCTAGTGAAAGCCAAACCTCACAAGGGCATTTTCTTCTTAAATTTCAAGAGTTGATCCCTTAACATCACAAGGGAAAAATTACTTGTCCTTACCGCTGAATGGAGATTGTAATATATACTTCTCAGAATTGTGGTAAGGGTTACACGAGATACCTTTTTGTAAAGTCCTAAGCACAATGGAGCTTGTAAGCACTTAATAATAGTTAAGTTTTCCATTGTGTCTTGGGAATATTTTGATTCTATCTTACTTACAGTAGGATGTGGTTTTCTTCTTTCAGGGTGGAGGAGGCAGTCATCTTGACTTACTTTCCTGTAGTCCATCCGGTCATGATTGCTGTTTGCTGTTTCCTTATCATTGTGGGAATGCTGGGATACTGTGGAACAGTGAAAAGAAACCTGTTGCTTCTTGCATGGGTACAGTGCTTTTATCTTCATTTCATTATAGTTAAAAAAGACCAGCTGGCAATGTATTATTTGTTATCAATCTGCAAGATTGTGTACCTAGGGAACCATGATAGCAGTAACTTTCATCTGTGGTAATTGTTTAGCTTCCTGTGAGGCTGGAATCTTTCCTTCCATGACTGATGATTTCAAAATGAATACTTGCTGTACTGAAATGATGAGGCAGGCAAATATGTGAACCTTTTAATTATTTCACTCCGGCTGTATGTTAACATTTTCATTTGAAAGTATTAGTTCTTTTTAGCGTCATAGACCTTATTACCACGGAAAAAGTCCCTTGGGACCAGAACAGAGACGTCATAATGGAATTATTTTTCCTTCTCTTCTAATTTTAAACAGCTCATCCTGTTAACCCCTGTCGAGTCAGGCGGTGGGCTAGCAGATAGCGATTGTAATCCTGGTGCTGTGTGTGTATTGTGCGGTGGATATAAGTGAGTCTCAGTTTCTATGAACATAATTGTTTTTTCTTAACTCTTAAGGAGACTGCACTACTTTCTAATTTTCATTGCATCCATTCAGATTCTGTGATTAGTCTTTTAAGTCAAAACCTAGCAAATTCTCTTTTAACATTAAAATTTTCAGTCATTTTAAAGTGGCTTCTACAGTATATAGATTTTTAGAAGAGGATTGATGATGTAAAATATTAATAATTAGTGGCACCAAGTAGTGAAGCTGCTAACATATAATTGCAGATGTGTAAAACTTCTGAAAAATTAATTTATTGAGTATATTCCTTTCTTTACAGTAGTTCTGAGCCCTGGCTATGCATTAATTTTATGTAGGAATCTGAAAAAAATGGAGTGATGTGCCAGGAGGCTGGATCCCTGGGTAGAGAAAATCCTCAGTTGTAGTATTTGAGGATTTCCCAAGGACACATGCACCCGACATGTTTGGTTTCAAGTTACCAGCTGACATTATTGAGTGAAGTTGGAGGAAGAGGGGCACAAGTTGGCTGGCAGTCACCGGTTTTCATACCTGCTTCGCGGGCTCCGTCCTGTGGCAGCTCAGATGGAGACTTGGCGTGAGGCTGCGCTGAGGCTCTGCATTTCACTGGAACAACCTGTTTTAGTGGATTCCTGGGCTTCTTGGAGAATAGCTCTTCAGGGTGAGGGTTGGAAAGCAGAACGCACTGTAGAAAATAAACCAGACTTAGAAGGGAAAGATGCTCACCGCTTTACTTCTCTCCACATGCAGAGAGTGAAGAGCAGAACGACGCAAAGTTTTGAAATCCTGTTTTGAGTTGGACTATCTGGGCAATGACCTTAAAATAACCTGAAGGAGTTTATATAAGTGTTCTGTAACTTGAGGGGTATATATTTAAAGTTTTAAAAATCTCAGAATCTTTTTCTAAAATAATGGTCTCAGCATGATGTCCCATAACCAGTACTACAGCCAGCGTAGGTGTGGCTGCTGTCCTCCTCCCTCTTTCCAGCTCTTACTCAGGGTGCTCCCCAGGCAGGCGTGCTGGTGTGAAGTGTGGTTAGGCACTTCATGGAAAGATGTAACTTTTGGCAGTGCATTTTGTTTTTTTTGTTTTTTTTTTTGGTTTTTCTCCGGTACCGGGAACCGAACTCACGACCTTGCGCTTGCGAGGCAGGCGCTTTTGCCGCTGAGCTAAATCCCCAGCCCACATGGCAGTGCATTTTGAAAACTGTTCATTCCATTTACTTCCTACTAAAGCAAGTTGACAAATAAAATAAGTTGTCCTGCTGCTTAGGTAAGAAAGACCACGGACTTGTAACTGAGAGTCAAGTTTGTGATCTGGGGAAGAGCTTTATGATGGAAAAGTGACATGGATGGCCAAGGTCTTAAGGGTGACTAATGTGTTCATTTATTTACTTTTCACTTACTGCTCACATCTGTACTACATCTGTTCTCTCAGTTTTTGCCATCAGACCGATGTATGTGGTAGATAAACAACCCTACTGTTCTCTGACGAGAACTCTATAGCATTTACAGTGGGTGCTGTGAGGCCAGAGAGGAAGAACTCCAAGCTTAGCCTCAAGAAGTTCCTGCTGGTTTCTGAGAGAATGACAGGTTCAGATTGATCCTTCTTTTTTCTGTCTCCTTCACTTACTGGATGTTCTCTTTCTCATGAAGCAACTTTTCATGCATTTCTGTTACAGGGTACGTGGGTGCCATCAGCATCTTGGTTGCTTCTTCCTTTGACTGCCTTTGTTCATTTTCCATTCCTGTTGTGCTGTTTCTCTGTCATGGCAGTCTAGACCTCACTCTTACCCAGCCCAGAAGGACTTGTTCCTTGCTCAAAAATGAGCTGTGGTCTCAGCTCTCAGTTACCCACCACTCACACCCAGCCTGCATCTGGTCTGTCTCCCAGGCAGTTTCTTCTGTGACTTCCTCTCCATAATTCCTTGCCCTGCTCGGTGACCAAGTCCCACACGTACTGGTTCTCCAGTCCCAGCAATGTGTGCCCTCTTTGCTGCTCTCATTTGGAAAGCTTTTACGCATGCTCTTCTGACTGTTTGCTTGCCTGGCTGTGGAGCCTCCTAACTAATCTTTCTGCCTCTGTTACCTTGTTTTCTACTCCTAAACCTGTGCTGTTGGGTCAGTCTAATACAACCAAACCAAGACTTTCTGCTCCAAGACTTTGGTAGTCTTTCTATTGGATAATAGTATTTTCAAACACCTCACACTTGCATCAAGCCCATCTACAGTCAAGCCTTCATCTACCATTTCTAGCTTTCTGACCTAGTTCAAGGTTCTCTGGCCAAGCTGTGATTTTGACCCCGGAGCCACTGTTGTTTGTTCTTCGCTACCCTTATTCTTACTGGCCTTTAGCTGCGAATTTCTTCTTAAGTCTTTTGTTCGAATGTCACCAGCCCATTAAGACTTGTCTGGAATGCTACCTCATGAAATAATAGTGATGACAATAATAACAGTGGTGACGTAGATAACATTTCTAAGGTGCTTACCATCCCAGAAACTATAGTTTCCCATAATTTTTACATGAAGTAATCTGTTTTATCCTTTTCACAGTTCTTATGAGATAGGTACCATTACTGTCACGTAATACAGATGAGGAAACGAAGTGCAGGGACATTAAATGATTTTCACAAGTTTTCATAGCCAGTAAAGTGAGGATCTGCTACTTTCACCGGTGTCCATTTCGAACAGCACATTTGTAACAGTTTTGCTCTTTTACTCTACAACTGCTGACTTTTCCTAAGTTCTTACTCTGGTGTCTTGCGGCTTATGGACCATTTTCTTTTTTAATGTTTTCCATTTTTATTAGTATGTGTTTGTGATACATAATAAATACATTCATCATGGGGAATTGGTACATACACGTACTGCATCTTTAGATAATATCGTTCATTTTAAACCTAACAATAGTCATCTGAGGTAAGTAAATATTAGATGAAACTTAGGGCATTCAGTAGCATACCCAAGGCCATTGGGCAATAAAAGGTAGAAACAGCATTCAGACCTGTGATTCTGATTGCCGCGTAAACTTTTACTGGGCTTTTACTTGATGTCGCTAATACATTCTCCTCAACCTTTGAATTCCAGTCCATGTATTGTGCTTATTATGAATTTCCCTTTTCATAATCAGCCCAAGCTACCGTACACCAAACAGTTGGTAATATGAACCCTTCATTTTTCCCATTGCTTTAATATGTGTTTATTAAATTAAGTGATGAGCAGGAAACCAGAACAGCAAGAGCGGGGGCACCCAGCGTGTTAGCCCGAGGACGGTGCCTGCTGGTGAGACGCCGAGTGAGGTTGGAAAAGAGGAGCCTGGAGGTTAGGAGGACTAGATTCCAAGGGCAAGGCCTTCTCAAGGAGGTGTAAGTTAATGCAGAATGCGGCATGATAGTCTTGGGCAAACTTTTGCAAGGCAGCTCTCACATGTTTTCTTTTTTTCTTTTGTGCCCTTTTGCCTTTTATCCTAATTTTGAAAAATAGAACATTTGTTACTTTTACTTTGGATATAAATATTTAAACAAACAGAATGTATTCATCCAAGTTGCCCATTTCCCTGTATTTAGTCCACTTCACTTGTCAGACCTGGAAACCAGGTTTTACCGAGAAAGCTGTTTTTTAAGGACAGTGAGGAGCTGCTGTGTCTCTTGAATGATTGTGAAAAAGAGCCTGCAGCTGGGCAGTGGTGCTGTTCAAGCAAAAAAAAAAAAATCATCATTCATTTGCCTGGGTGGAAAAACACGCCTCTTTCATAACCACCTTTACAGCGACCCTGTAAACCGGCCCCCAACGGGAGCAGTAACAAAAGCTAAGAGGGCAACTATTAGAAAGTATTTCTGATGAAGGGTTACACATTTGACCTTTCTGTTAAATTATAGGCTTATAGATGCAAGTTTGTAAATACCCTAATTTAAAGTTCTTGAATTTAAGAGTCCAATTAAATTGAATTTCAGGTAAGCAATTTATAATTTTTTACTATGAATATTTCCCTGCAATAGATATGCATGATGTACTGAAACATGATTTGTTGTTTATCTGAAGTTCAAATTGAAATGAATATGCTGTATTTTGGTTGAACCTGGCCACCCAGCCCTAATTAGATGTGTTCTTAGTAAGTGTGAAACTGTCATAGACAGAAGAACATTCATGTATTTATATGAAGGGATTAAGAACAGTTAAAATCTAATTATAATGGGAAAATAGGCCAGAAATGACTGGGAAAAGAAACTTGAACATGTTATGACTTCCAAAGTAATTTCAGTAGCAGAAATTTCCTCTCTTTAAAAGAGAAAATTGAAGCTAAAAGGAAATTGGTTTTAAGCCTTAGATGGGTACTTTCCAAGGCTTGAGCAGTAGACTAAATGAAATTCATTTGTTATGGCAGTTCTACCTTGCTATTAACACAGGCATTAGGAAAGCAGTGCCAGCTCAGGCGGAATGTAAACAGATTCAGCAGACAAGTTTACATTGTTGACATCAGCTGAATGTCACCATCAGGAGGTCATTAT